TATGATTGTAGAAAGCTGCATAGCCGTTAATGTGGTGCCACGGCTCACTCTGAGGCTAAAGACTGCGAGCTGACTGTGGGATTATCACTCATTATGCTGCCAGCATGCTCACCTTTATGCAGATGGACAACTCTGCACCTGGAAATGGATTCTGAATCTAATCCTGGCCAAGGAAATCAGAATTAAAGTGAATGAAGAGATAAATTTTCCGGCTCCTGTCAGCCTCTCGTCTATCGGCTTTTCCTCCATCTATTTCTCATCTGATGATTGATCCAGCAGCCATCATCGTTCATCCTTATGTTTTTAGTCAAAGCATTTCCATACAGGTGGACTCTGTATCGGCCTGCCGTTCGTCTGGCCCCGCCCACTATCCCTCTGTTTGCCGCTGTCAACTGACCTGTAGTCTGTGTTCCTGATTGAAGATGTTTTCAGGTGTGTAGAAACATCTCATCCTCCTCTTTAACCAACAGATCAACCAGGCCAAGCCGGAGTGCGGCAGACAGACGCTGGCAGAGCTGCTCATCAGACCAGTGCAGAGGCTGCCCAGTGTGGCGCTCCTCCTTAACGGTAACATCCATACGGTGATACGGACCAAATGTTCCCCGCTTACTGCTCATTGTTTGGGTTTCTCTGTCCTGTTTATCTCCTGCTGATTGGCTCCCGTCTTTTATCTCTTTATTTATCTTCAACTTGATTTTGTCGCTGTCACATTCATTGGCCATCCACGCCTGGCCCCGCCCCCTCACCAAACCTACCCTTTCATCCTTATGTTGTAGACATAAAGAAACACACGTCAGATGATAACCCAGACAAGATAACCCTGGAAAGAGCCATAGAGTCTCTGAAGGAAGTGATGACGTGAGTTCATATTTACCTTTTTATTTTTACTGCTATTTCTTCATTTTATGACTATTTTAATCAAAATGTTAGATTCCATCTGCAATCCAGAACATTTATACATCCTTTTTCCCTGAGCCATTCCACATTAGTACGCATAACTTCATTTCTGGATATCTATGGTTTGATTTCTGGGAGGAATGTTACCAACTGGTGAAAATGTGAAAAGCGCCTCTAGAAATGGATTTATTAAGGTCAAAGGTGGCCTGTTCAATACTTATTGTTTGTAGATTTATTCACTGTGTGCACAGTTATTATGCAAGGTGTAGTTGTGAGGAAAGAAACCGAAATGTTTTTAACCTCCCAGAACAAATCTATAAGACCAGAGTGACCCGTATATTCATTAACGGTTGAAGACCTTCGGTCCGCTTCTGATGACCATCAGCGTTTAGTGCAGCGTCCATCGCAGCCTCCCAGACACGGTTCAGAGACGTGGACGCTTTCCTTTCCCGTCCATCTGGTGTTTAAGCTGGGATCACGAGTTCTCAGTGGGGTTAAGGTCTGTAGAGGAAGGGGCCCCTCATCGTTTCATCGTTGGCTGCTGGCCCCATGGTGGAGGACTGTGACTGAGGATGGTCCTGCAGAAACATCATGGACTTTTCCTTCACCATTGCTTGAAGAAAGTGTCTCCTTAAAACTGGAAGTCGGTTTGCAGGGTTGACTTTGAGTCCATTTTCTAGCTGAGAAGGTCCGACCAGCTCACCCCAGTCTGGACCTTTCAGCTAATGTTTGTTGTTCAGTGGCGGTCGGGTTTCAGCTTCCCTCACCTTGGCCAGTTTCTGATGGTCTGGTTCCTCTGGGCGCTCCAGGTAGGCAGCAGGTCTGGAATATGGCAGCACTTGAAGGGGAGAGATTCCTGGTAGCTTCATGTTTGATCTTTAAATATTTACCAGTTTATTTGCATCTTTGTTTCTTGCGTCCCTGTTGGCGTCAGAACATTTGATGGTTCTCTGATCACGCCCTGATATCTCAGCAATTCCAGATTTGCTGAAGCCCTCTGAACAATCTGGACTTTTCAGTAACTTAAATCTCTGATTTTGGCTGAGAAAAAGAAGCTGCCTAATAATTAAGCTAACCTTAATATAAAGTGTTGGTCTCCTTAGGCCCCGCCCTCCCTCATTAAACAAATCTACGTCAGCTGATCCGTTTATGTTCAACAAGCCTTCAAGTTTATTCAGCTTTCAGTTGGAAAATACGCCTTAAAATGAACGTGTGGCTGAAATGAAACCGTTCCTAATCGTTCGGGACACAGTGTGGGTGGGTGAGTGGGTGTGGGTGGGTGGATGTGACGTGTTATTTTTAAAAGCTGCTCTCCATCAATCAGCAGAACTATGATCCATCAGGTTATTCTCTATATGGGATCAACCAAAGAGCATTGCAGGTCTGATCCTCCTCAGATCAACCCATCAACACACCATCTGTTCATTGCTGAGCCCTGCAGGTCAGCAGGCTGCTCCAACGTTATTTTAAATGAATATTTCTCAGCCAACACCACATCCCACAGTTGCTTTTAGTTGATTAAATGGTCCTTTGACTGTTTCCGCCTGAATGTAACCTAATAAAACTGGATCTGCTGTCCAGTTCCAGTAGCCTATCAGAATGCAGCGTTCTTGTTTATCGTCTGATCCTAAGAAGTGACGTTTCTGTGCCCTTGACTCGTCTGCAGTCACATCAACGAGGACAAGAGGAAGACTGAGGGCCAGAAGCAGATCTTTGATGTGGTCTATGAAGTCGATGGATGTCCTGTAAGTTTATCGCTTCATATTCAGACACTCTGAGTCCTTTTCTACATCAGTTTTCTAGTTTTCTTCCAGTTGCTTCCTTGATTGGCAGCGGTTTGCTGGATGCTAGCTCACCTGCTTCCTATCCTCCTCTTCTCAGGCCAACCTGCTGTCTTCCCATCGAACCCTGGTGCTCCGGGTGGAAACCATCGCCCTGGGCGACGAGCCCTGCGACCGTGGGGAAAATGTCACCCTCTTCCTGTTTAACGACTGCCTAGAGGTGAAAATCACACACTTCTGCTCCAAGTGCAAATAGCAAAGTATTAAAATAATTCTGATCTTAGTATAGATGAGCTTTTTACCTGAGAAACTGAAAAGAAATAGAATAATAAAGAGAATGTCTAATTTGGTCATGAGACGGATGGACAGAGACCAGATGATGCAGACAGGAGGTCAGACTGAAGCAGACCAGCCTGTTCTTTAGCTGAACTTCCATCTTTAACGACCTGCTGGGCAGAAAGCGATCCACGGCGCCGAGCCAGCAGTACTTTCTATGTTAAAGGGTTTAACAGAGCCTGATGATAACTCACTCTAGAAGCAGTTTCTCTTCTATTCAGCTAATTTCTAGAGCTCCACTTCCCATCATGGCATCTCAGGACGAACCAACCAGACCTTCTTGGTTAGAAACCATGAAAGAACCTAAACCTGCTGCTGGTCTGTAGCTGCCTGCATGCAGAATGTGTTTGACTCTGTATTTCTGATGCTGTTCTAGTTTCCTCCTGTTTCTGCTCTATCAGTGTTAATAAGGTGAAGGACGGGGCAAGGCGTGAAAGAGACGAGTGGAGAGGCTGTGCTGATTGGGGGGTGTCGGTGACGCCTCCTAATCAGCTGCATCCTTCATCCTGCCAGGCCTGCCTGTGGACTCTCTGGTTCCACAGTGGGTGGTCTCTGCTCTCTCCTCCATCTCCTCCATCCCTTGATTTAATCTCAGCCTCTAATGTCCTCCCTGTCTTTGCTCTAACCTCCTAATTAATGGGACAGTAATGAGTTCATCGTTTACCTCCATGAAGGCGTAAACCTGCCTGCACTCACACAGACGCTGTCTCCTGTTTTCGTCTCATTGCTGTTTTTGTCAAACTGCTTCTCTGCAGATTGCGAGGAAACGTCACAAGGTGATGAAAGGTCCGCTGGGTCAGACGAGGCCGCCCCCCCCTCTGAAGCACATAGCTCTGATGCCGCTGTCGCAGATTCGCAGAGTGCTGGACCTGCAGGACACGGAGGGTAACCACATCAGGCACCCATCTATCCTACAAACACGCTCATATAGGCGGGGAACACTTTTAATAACGTTCCAGCAGAAATGTAAAGAGCCGATCTGAATACCATGAAACAAATCCACCGTTTCCCTCAGAGCGTTCTTTGCCACAGTAAGGGCAAAGAAGGTATTTCTATGGACTAGATGTTTAAATCCAGATGGAACCAGAAGCAGAACATTCTGTCAGGTTTTATTTCTGTTTTTGAAGAGATGAAAACACGTCCTGTGGTTGCTAACGTAGCTCTACTGTGTCCGTCCATCTGCAGCTGTCCTTTACTAAATGATTCATTTAGGATCTTATGCTGCGTTCAGACAGCAGGAGCTGCTGGTTTACATGCAAAGACTTCAGAAGTTCCCACAGCACCTAGAGCAGCGCACCTAGAGCAGCGCACCTAGAGCAGCGCACCTAGAGCAGCGCACCTAGAGCAGCACACCTAGAGCAGCAGGAGCAGTGCCTCATGAGCATCTGAGCCTCTGAGATACGTGACGCTGCACAAGCAGCAGCTGTTGGTGTTGGAAACATTGACCTTTAGCTGCTGGACATAAACCAATGAGAGAAGCTGATCTGGGAGCTGGCAGGGAGTCAGACGCAGCACTGCTGATGCAGAGCGCTATGATCACTCCTCTGAAACAGTTTATTA